TCCCAATTCTTTCCCCCCCAAGCCAGACCCAAGTGGTGACACGAAGAGCAGCCGTGTTCTGGCCTAGGAAATGTTTGGCCTTTTCCTCAAGTCCTCTCCTGGGTCTGATGCCTGCCATGATGGGCCACTGTACCTGTCATTCAGTGGCAAAAGATAATAATAATAATAATAATAATAATAATAATAATAATAATGTAATAATAAATTTTATTTATACCCCGCCCTCCCCAGCCAAGACCGGGCTCAGGGCGGCTAACACCAGGTATAAAAACAATTGATTAAAATACAACTTAAAAACAAGATTTAAATAAGATGAAAAGATGAAAGCCATTTATGTACAATTAAGTGTGTGTGTGTGCACATCCTAAAAATGTACCTAGCCATGTGGGCCCAGGGACATCTCTGCTCACTGTGGTTGTTTCCTTCCTTGCTCATGGTAAATGGGTCATCTGTCTCATTTGGAATAAAAATATTTCTTTCTTTCTTTCTTTCTTTCTTTCTTTCTTTCTTTCTTTCTTTCTTTCTTTCTTTCTTTGTTTCCCCGCCCATATGGCTGGGTTTCCCCAGCACCTCTGGGTGCCTTCCAACATATATAAAAACATAATAAATTGTCAAGCATTAAAAACTGGAGTGTTTTTCATGTTTCTTAAAAAAAAATTTTTTTTTTAATGATTGGCAGGCCTCAGATTGTCTTCTTCTCCCCTAGGGATCTCTTCGGAAAGTGAACTGCCTTGAATAGTAGATGGTTCAGTAGTTCAGACTTTTAAAGGCCTAAGCTTACAGACCTCCCAAGTGCCCCTATTTTCCAGGGACAGTCCGGGATTTACAAAACCATCCCGGTTTCTGTTTTGATACTGGAATGTCCCACTTTCCCTTAGGACGTCCTTGTTTTCATTGGGTAAATGTTGGAGGGTATGATAGGACGTCCCTATATCCATCGGAGAAATGTTGGAGGGCCTGGAGTTATGCAACCGCTGAGTCAAGAAGTAGCTATACAACCTTTAAAAGATGTCTGAAGACAGCTATGTCCAGGGAAGTTTTTTTAATGTTCAATGTTTTATTACATTTTTACATATGTTGGAAGCTGCCCTGAGTGACTGGGGCAATCCAGTCAGATGGCCGGGATATAAATTATTATTATTATTATTATTATTATTATTATTATTATTATTAAGTAAGGGTAAAGGGACCCCTGACCATTAGGTCCAGTCGTGGCCGACTCTGGGGTTGCGGCACTCGCTTTATTGGCCGAGGGAGCCGGCGTACAGCTTCCGGGTCATGTGGCCAGCATGACTAAGCCACTTCTGGCGAACCAGAGCAGCGTACGGATAGCCCGTTTGCCTTCCTGCCGGAGCAATACTTCCTGCCGGAGAATTTATCTACTTGCACTTTGACGTGCTTTCGAACTGCTAGGTTGGCAGGAGCAGGGACCGAGCAACGGGAGCTCACCCCGTCGCGGGAATTTGAACCGCCGACCTTCTGATCGGCAAGCCCTAGGCTCTGTGGTTTAACCCACAGCGCCACCCGCGTCCCTAATAATAGAATAGGACGTCCCTATTTTTATCAGAGAAATGTTGGAGGGTATGAGCTTATCCTGCCGGTTTTAGAGTTGGTCACTCATCCTTCTCAGACAGGTTGACAGGAGGGAGATTTTTGTGCACGCACACACACACACACACACACACACACACGTAGAAACAACATATAAAGCAGGTCACAGGGTTGTTGCTGTGCATCATGGGTGCCAGCTATCCACACATTTCGGGGTGGGAAGCAATGGCTGGCAAAGTGGCATAAATGTGCCCTCTGCCCCATTTATCCCAGTCACTGGGAGAGCTTTGCATATGTCAGCACTGCTCTTATCACTTAGTTTTGCTAGCTGTGTTATTAAAGAACACCTTGTGTGTGGGACATGCCATCACGGCTTAGGCACGGTGTTGCTGCAAGATACCAAACAATGAAAAACAACGAGGGTGCTTTTTTTTGGGGGGGGGACGCATGGCCTATACTGTATACATCGTGGCAGGAGCAGAACTAAGCCAATTAGAAAACCATTTAGCAAAAATAATATGTGCTTGAGGGGGCTTACACATGGCATGTGCATAAAAATCCAGGGTGCTGCTTCAGTTAAGGAAAAGGAGATTTACGAGGGGGCAAATTTTGGTGTGTGTGATGGAAAGTGGAACAATTTTTAGCTGCTTAATGGAACTTCCCCTCCTTCTCACCCCCTTCTCACCCGCACTTCCTTTGAATTTGCTCCAGGCAGCTGGGGGGTTGGGTAGGGTGGCTGAGCAGGGGAAGGAGACGGCGCTCCATTGTGCACAAGTGGAAGTTGTTCCATGCATGTAATGACTTAAAGAAGGTAAAGGGACCCCTGACCATTAGGTCCAGTCGCGGACGACTCTGGGGTTGCGGCGCTCATCTTGCTTTATTGGCCAAGGGAGCCAGCGTACAGATTCTGGGTCATGTGGCCAGCATGACTAATCCGCTTCTGGTGAACCAGAGCAGCGCACAGAAACACCGTTTACCTTCCCGCCGGAGCGGTACCTATTTATCTACTTGCACTTTGACGTGCTTTCAAACTGCTAGGTGGGCAGGAGCAGGGACCGAGCAACAGGAGCTCACCCTGTCGCGGGGATTCAAACCGCCGACCTTCTGATCGGCAAGCACTAGGCTCAGTGATTTAGACCACAGCGCCACCCGCGGCCCTATTTAATGACTTGGTCAGATACAACCCTCAGTTCCTGTTCCCCCAACACACAGAGGGCTGTTTGTTTTCTTGTGGGGCTCCAGGTAGATATTTGCAGGGGTAAATATGCACCTGGAATGTTATTGGGGGGGGGGAGCAGTTTGCGGGTGGCAATTGCAGAGGGAAAGGGCTGGGCAATGGGTAGGGTTAAGCAGCCCTTTGTTCTCTAGAAGTATCCATAAAAAGTTTCCTTAGGTCTGAAACTGAATGGCCTTCCTTTCACCTATTCTCTGGCAAGAGACCTCCTCTTTTAGGGGAAGGGTCACAGCTCAGTGACAGAGCATCCGCTCTAGATGCAGAAGGTCCCAGTTCGAATCCTGGCATCTCTAAATAGGACTGGGAGAGATTCCTGCCTAAATTGCTAGGCAGCTGCTGTCAGTCCGTATGCAATACTGAGCGTGAGAGACCAATGGCTCAGTATAAAGCAGCTTCCTCTGTCCTCTGCTGCTGGGCTCCGTTTCGCTCTCTGTAATTTTACGCAGACGATGCCAGAGCGAGGGCTAAAGACCCATCTGTCCACCCAGGCATTTGTGAGGGTTTGTGAGTGGTATCTGACTGGTCTGCTATGGATTATAATGCATTCCATTGTATTTTCATGTGTTGATTTTATTGGAATGGCATTGTACGTATTGCTTCGTTGTGTGCCTCCCTAGTATTACTGATGAGGAGTGGTACAGAAGTGTTTTCAATAAACACACACACAAATTTTAAATAAACAAACACGTGTGTGTGTGTGCGTGCGTGCTAGGTGCCTAAGGCAGAAAATGTGTCATGCTCCCAATGGTAAATATATAATAACAGACAAAATAATTGACAATGTGCTTCACTTTGATGGTACTACACACACACACACACACACACACACACACACACACAGCGATAAGGCAAAGTGGAAGTCCTATCAGTGCTCATTCTTTTTCTTCTGTTTCATTACTAGCGGCCGACGATGGATAGGGGAAGAATTGGACAGAAACTTTCCAATGTTTAATACTGTCCTTTCCACGGGGTCAACCACCTGTGCTGAGATTGGGTAATCTAGGCTGTGTGCTCTGACTGGCTGGCAACATGGAAGGACTCCTCCTCCATGTTTCTAATGGATCTAGGAAGAGCCTCATGAGGCACCAACTTCATCAGCTGCAATGGTGGCAACAGGGGTGAGAGGAAAGGAATGGAGAAAAGGAAGGAAAATAGCAGGAACAGCACAGAGTTCTAGGACTGGGTGAGGGATGGTGTAGAGAACCAGACACTTCTGTCCAGGACAGCCATAGATTTGGTATACTGAGCAGGTTCTGGGTCCTACCACCAACTTCTGTTGGTACAACTACCATCATCCCTGGCCACTGACCCTTCTGGCTGAGGCTGTTGGGAACTAGAGTCTAATAATACCCATAAAAGGTAAAGGACCCCTGACAGTTAAGTCCAGTCACGGACGACTCTGGGGTTGCGGCGCTCATCTCGCTTTACTGGCCAAGGGAGCTGGCGTTTGTCCGCAAACAGTTTTTCTGGGTCCTGTGTCCAGCATGACTAAGCCGCTTTTGGTGAAACCAGAGCAGCACACGGAAATGCCGTTTACCTTCCCACCGGAGCGGTACCTATTTATCTACTTGCACTTTGACGTGCTTTCGAACTGCTAGGTTGGCAGGAGCTAGGACAGAGCAACGGGAGCTCACCCTGTTGCGGGGATTCAAACCGCCCATCTTCCAATTGGCAAGCCCTAGGCTCTGTGGTTTAACCCACAGCCCTGTGGTTTAACCCATAGGACCACAGATTTCTCACCCCCAATGTAGTGATATCTGGAACCCCATAAATAGGTGTAACATCCTGGTGTTTAGGCCAGTTTCCTGATGATGCAGTCTTCGATTTAATTTGCTACCACCATCTGCTGGGCTACATTGCACAGAAAGCCAGATGTCAGTACTTGTACAGTGGTACCTCGGGTTACATACGCTTCAGGTTACATACGCTTCAGGTTACATACGCTTCAGGTTACATACTCCGCTAACCCAGAAATAGTGCTTCAGGTTAAGAACTTTGCTTCAGGATGAGAACAGAAATCATGCTCCGGCGGCGCAGCAGCAGCGGGAGACCCCATTAGCTAAAGTGGTGCTTCAGGTTAAGAACAGTTTCAGGTTAAGTACGGACCTCCGGAATGAATTAAGTACTTAACCTGAGGTACCACTGTATAGTAAAGGTCGGCCCTCATTTAAGTAACCATTCTCAAACATGCCTAGAGTAGCCAAGTGGCCCTTACGGTAAATCCGATGCCCACAGTTGCAGAAAAAGAGCCTGGGATGAACTTGCCCTGGTCAAACTGAACCAGCAGTGATGTCTTCCCAACTCCGCTGTCTCCAACCAGGATAGTCTGTGGGAATCAGACCAAAAAAAATCAGGTTAGCGTCCGAATTAAAAGGGCCGAGGCCCCATTTCTCTGTTCTCAGTGTACAAATGCTGGCAGCAGATTAATTGGTAATTTTGTAATACTGGAGAGACGTGGTTAGACATGGGTTTGAGCATGACACCCACAGGAATATTTCAGGGGGAGAAGCAAAGTAAATACAGCCATACCTGTTTTCGAACAGCTTAGTTCTTGAACGTTTTGGCTCCCGAACGCCGCAAACCCAGAAGTGAGTGTTCTGGTTTGCAAACATTCTTTTGGAAGCCGAACGTCCGATGGGGATTCCGCGGCTTCCAATTGGCTGCAGGAGCTTCCTGCAGCCAATCAGAAGCCATGCTTTGGTTTTCGAACGTTTTGGAAGTCGAATGGACTTCTGGAACGGATTGCATTCGACTTCCAAGGTAAGACTGCACTCCAAACAAATAAGTGCACATAACTGACATCTAAGAACAGGCCCTTCATTTCTGATAAATCAGCTGACGTTGCAGCAGTGAGTCCTGGGTAGACCTGGCCTCTGAGAACCTTGTGTTCCAAGTCTCTCTCGTTTCTCAGTGGGGTAGATCAGTAGTCCAGCAACAGGAAGACCTAGCATCCAAACAAAGTATTTCTACATACCACTGCAGCCCTCAATCCTGTCCTTGGCTCCCTTCACCTGTTTGAGCCCTTCATTAATTGCACTGCACCTACAACCAGCTTCATAGCCCAGCCCCACCTGTTCTTCCATTAAAAAAAAACCAAAACCTTTGACAAAATTGCAGACGGAGAGTACAAGATTTCAGTCACGCTGACACTTCTGCTTTTTGCTTCCGACAGCATTATGAGAAAATGAAACTGCTGCAATGGCCAGGGCAGGCGAAGGGAATCGGGGAGAAAGCAGAAGCAGAAGAAGCCTATTCACCCTAACTCATGGGGAGGGGGGAACAAAGCACCGTAAAAGAGAAGTAGCCGTGCATTCAAAAGAGCAGGCACAGAAGAAAGGAGATCATGCAAGTCTGCGGTGATGGTCAGCATGCGGCAATGGCACTTCGTTGTGGGAATGTTATTCTTCAACCTAAAAGGTGAGTGGTTTGTGCCTGCCTGTTTACCCTGAATGATCAGGGACACACAGGGTAAGATGGGAATTGGGGGTGAACGTGTGATTATTTCTGCAATTTAGAGGCAGCCTGACCCATACACAAGAGATATGTGCCTTCAGAGTTTGCCTTCTGGAAAGATGCAAGGAGTTGCAGCAATGCAAAAGAGCCAATTTTGTACTGGCTCCATAGCTTAAATTTATGGAATGTGGGGTGGAATTTCAGAATTTAATGCATTCTGCCAATACCTTCAGGGCAGTGAGGGAGGGGGCTGTTAGGAAGGAAGCTGTGTGGACACAGACTCATTTCTGCAGAGTAAAGAGAGCAATTCCCCCCTTGTCACAAGCTGCTCATCCCTGGTGTGGAGAGAGTGTCTCTCTCTACACACCCGGGATAGGCAGCTCATGACAAGGGGGGAATTGCCCTCATTACTTTGCAGAAATTGGTGTCGTTGACACAGGGCTGAAGAGATTGCACCCTCAGCATGACCATTTCTGTTTGCCTGGTGGAACAACCTGTCCTTTCTGTCCCCTGCACGCTGTTCGGTGGTTCCCCCAGCCACCCACCCGCCCTGAGCCAGTTTGGGGACGAGGCACGCAAAGGAAGGAGAGGAGGGAAAGCCCTGCTGCACTACTAGAAGTCCGTGGGTGGATCCAGCCCACTGAGCTATCAGAAGTGCCCAGCAGCCCCTACAGCTTTGTCTCCTGAGCTGGTTGGGGGAAATGAAGTGCTCTTTCTGGTCTATAGAGGACCATCTTTAAATAGCAGTGCTTTATCTCCTGTTCTCAGCGCTGATGAATGATCTGTGCAAAGGAAAGGCAGCATTTCCAGGGACCCCAACCTCAGCGCTGGATTAGGGGAGGATGGAAATGCTGGTAGTGCGTGCATGTGTGTGCGTGCACATGCCTGTCTCTGCTTGTGTGCAAGAGTGAGCAACTGTGTGAATGTAAGATACTGCAGTGCAGTTTGTTGTGGGAAAGGTCCATGTGCAAGAATTTTGTGTGTGTGTGTGTGTGTGTGTGTGTGTGTGTGTGTGTGTGTGTGAGAGAGAGAGAGAGAGAGAGAGAGAGAGAGAGAGAGAGAGAGAGAGATTTGTAGGTACACTGTATGTTTGGTGTGCATGCATGTGTGCGCATGTGCACATCCATTACGCCATGTCTACCGCTGGCATGTGGCATTTGCAAAGTTGGCTGACTATCTATAAAGGTTCTGGGCCCAAAAGGGTTAACCACCCTAGATCTAAAAAAATGAAGTTTAACACTCATTATCTTTTCAATATGAAGATTAAGAATTTCCCAACAATTCACATGCTCACCACCTCCTGCCAAATCCTAGCGGCTGAGGGGTCTTCACCCCCCCCATAAAACAGTTGATGGGCATTGCCATTCAAATATGTGTGTGTGTGCACACGCACGCGTATTCATTGTGTCATGTGATCGATTATGTGGGGCGGGGCTTCCCTGTCCCCCATATTTTATTCAAGTTGGTTGGCACACACACCCCGTAACAGTGACTTTAGTGTATACCATCAACTCATCAATCATAGACCCCAATATGAATGATTTAGTAACTGCACCTTCCCTGGCCTGATCAGATCCCCCTCACTCGCTTGTTTATTGCCTCCATACCCAAAGACAGCAGAAGTCAGGGGCCAACACAGCTCCTGCTCAACTAGTAAAAAGAACGGCAGATTTAAGCCTTGCAGCGGGGATAGGGGAAACCTGTGGCCCTCTGGAAGCTGCTGTTAACTCCAAACATTAAGTACCATGAACTGACATGCCAGAAGAATAGAGGTGGGGTGGGGTGGATTATTGGAGTTCTGATCCAGCCACGAAGATGTGTAGAGTAATTTTATATTTTTTTCTGTGATACCAGAAGGATAATATTGGAGAACTAATGCCTCACTCCAGGTTTATTCTGCTTTTCAGGTTGCATGTCTGTTCTGACTGGTCCTGAAGCACTGAGTGGATTTTTGGGCAGGTCACTCGCTGTGAGATGCAAATATGATGCTTGGTTTAAGAAACATGTAAAATATTGGTGCAAAGGAAGTTCATGGAGCAGTTGTGAAACAGTTGTTCGGACGACAGGATCCGAAGAAGAAAGGATGGCTAGCAGACTTTTTATCAAGGATAATCATTCTCGTTTGGAATTCACAGTCAGACTGGAGAACCTCACACAGGAAGATGCTGGGATTTACTGGTGTTGCATAGAAAGAGCTGGCTCTGATTATGGAGTCCCTGTAAATATTACTGTTCTCCCAGGTGAGTCCTGTTTCCAAGCTCCACAGGAAACTCAAAAGCCAAATACAGCTAAAAGGGGAAGAAAACATCACAGAGGGTCTACGTTCTGTGCACATTAACCCCAAAGGTGGTTACTCCTTGGTAAGCGTGCATAGACTTGCAAATATAAAGGAGAGTTGCTACTTTTATACTTTAAAAAATGACAGTCATACAACTCCTCCTCTGTAGCACAAATATTTTGATAATTTTTCGCTTTCCAGAATGAGGTTATTTTATCCTTTCAGCAAGGAAATAATGGTAAACAAAACAAATTTTGTTTTATGTTGTTGTCAGCTGAGATGGCCCAGTTGTTAGACCATGAGCCCCTTAATCTCAGGGTTGTGGGTTCAAGCCTCACATAGGGCAAAAAGATTCCTGCATTGCAAGGGATTGGGCAACTCTACAATTCTATGATGCAGGTACAGTCAAACCTCGGTTGTCGAACTTAATCCGTTTCAGAAGACTGTCAGCAGAGTCAATGGAGAAAAAAGAAAAAAACTTCCCAGAAGCTGTTCAGCTTCCAAAAATCATTTGAAAACTGGAGCAGTTACTTCTGGGTTTTTGGCATTCAGGAGCCAAAATGTACAATAATGGAGGCATTCAGGAGCCGAGGTTTGACTGTATAACATTCACATTAAAGAAATCTATGCTTGCAGAATTGTCTCCTGCCATAGATTATCTGCCAGCAAGGCTGCCTGAACTGACTGGAATGAATTCGAAATCTCAAAGGACATGCCTGCAACACAGTCAATTCCCAGATTGACTGTACAGCAGCCCCATGTCAGCACATGAGAAAACCAATGCCACACTTAGGATTTCTCCCATCTCAAGTAAAAGTGTTAAACTGGGAGGAAATGTGCTTGGAAGCAGGGAATTGTAACCCACTTCCCACTAGAATTATCTACCCAAGTCGTTCCCTGTCACTCTGTGATAAAAGTGACCCTGAAGCCATTTGTATACCCCGTAATAACATGGATCAGGGCAACATGGATATTTAAAATAAATAAATTAAAACCCGCCACTAAAATTTGGGATCCCATCAGATCTCACAATTTCTGTGCTATGCTACAACAGGCATTTTGTTATTCATGGGGTGTGTTATAGAGCATTGATCTCTCACGAAAAAGCTCACAGCATCTTACCTTTGTTTAAAAACATTTGTTCACCCTCGCAGCACTTTCTTTGCCACAGTGTAAAGGTAAAGGGACCCCTGACCATTAGGTCCAGTCGTGGCTGACTCTGGGGTTGCAGTGCTCATCTTGCTTTATTGGCTGAGGGAGCCGGCGTACAGCTTCCGGGTCATGTGGCCAGCATGACTAAGCTGCTTCTAGCGAACCAGAGCTGCGCATGGAAATGCCGTTTACCTTCCCGCCGGAGCAGTACCTATTTATCTACTTGCACTTTGACATGCTTTTGAACTGCTAGGTTGGCAGGAGCAGGGACCGAGCAACGGGAGCTCACCCCGTCGTGGGGATTCGAACCGCTGACCTTCTGATCAGCAAGTCCTAGGCTCTGTGGTTTAACCCACAGTGCCACCCACGTCCCTTACCACAGTGTAGAATGAACCTATTGCTTCTGTATGGTAGCTTGAGAAAATGCTTTCTATTACATTGCA